GATTATACCCCAAAGGCGAAAGTATACGTCAATAGATTCATCGGCAAGATTATATATTTAACGAAATGTCTTGGAACAATGGTGTGCGGCAGTGGGCGTGCCCTCTTACGGAAGATTCGTATCTCTGGCTAAGCTTTAATTAATTCGTGGACAAGGTTCTATGGCAAAGAAACAGGTTTAACACGATATTCTCTCTGTGAGCATGTAGATTCGTGACGAAGGTTTAAAAAGTTTAGTTTACATGATCTGGGTACTGGGCGACGCGGCTGTGCGCGCTCTCCGGCTCCGGGTGCTCTGGCCATGAACGATGCTCTCGTTCGGTGATGGCAGACGCTGGGCGCTTTCGCTATTTCACAATTGATAACTGGAATCTTCGCCAGTCTCACTCGCACTGCAGCGGCTCGGTGTCGCGATACTTCTGTTGGCGCAGAATTCTTGCTTGGTTTAGCATGTCGCTACCCAGCGAGCCTCTCCATACTTGTTGAGTTTGCGGAGTCTTCTTCTACGTCGGTGGTGATGATCTCCTGCGTCGGTGGTGATGATGATGCTCCTCCGTTGGTGGTGATGATGATCCGGCGCTGTTGCTGGCGCTCACAAAGTTTGTGAATTGTATACGCACACCTCTTCAACAACTGTGACTCATGTCGAACCCAACTCTCAAGCACACATCGTTACTTCTCTCTGCGAGACATGACACCCATGGTATATCGGTGCCTGCTCCCTCGCGACGGCACCGCAAGCCTGAGCAGGCTGAAGCAAGACTGACGATTTGTGAGTCGTGTTGGTACTTACAATTGTATAATCCCTCCCCTCTCTCTCTCTATTCACAAAAGCCCAACTTTGCTTTGATGTCGCTTGCTGTGGGGAGGGGGAGTGGTATGTGTGTCCGCGTGTGAGTGTGTTTTATTGAGACATCTGTTAAATCTCCTTCCCTAAGCCATCTTTCATCCGTGGAACACAGATGCCCAACCTGCAATAAAAGTTATCTTGAGCCACTTCTTCTTGCTCTCCTTTGTACGGGGGCGGGCGTTTGTGTTTTTTTATGACTGACCCTGTCCGTTGGTGGGAGGGAGGGGTGTCACCTTCGTCTCTCCTTTGTATGGGGGGGGGGGGGGGGTGTCCTTTCATTATCTTTTATGGTTCATCTCCGGCTTCCTGTCGCGAGTGTGAAAGGCAGCTGTGGTGAGGGGGGGTGCTACAACCTTTGTTTGCGCACCAAGTGACCCCGCGATTGATTAAAAAATATATATTCTTGGCAGAATTATTCTTAATATGAATTTTGGAAAAAGGGTCACAGATGGGAGCGGTCACGTGCTCCCACCGGACGGCGGTTAATCACCGCCCACCCCGAGTAGGCGATCGGTCATTGAGTCCAAACGATAAAAAATCCTCACTCAATACCGACCAATGGGGGTGCGTGGAGCCCCGCGCGGGCGTGGATATCACAGAGCTACCTGTGACACATTATGTGTGTACAATGTCTCCTTTGCTTTGAATAGGAAGGCCCAGATTGATTTTCCTCTGACCGGAATGCACAGTTCGAGAATTGACGCAGCTGGCATGCTTTCAAATGCGTTGTCAGCAAAGGGGAGTCTAACAAACTACATTGTTGTACTGTTCTATGCTCCAGCGTGTATGTGTTCCCAAATTACATGCCTCCTGCTCACCAGCCGTGGTCAACTAAGCCCCCCATGATTCGCACGGCGTGGGGAGGCCCCTCCCCCCTCATCCAGCAGTGGAGTGGCAAAGGGCGCTGGGCGTGGTTGTGCACGGACTGGAGGGACGGAGCTCTCAACGCGCAGGTGACCTCAACTCGGAATATTGCGCAACTTGGTATCTTGCGTAATAATCAAATACCTTGGGACCTTTCTTGCCAGTATAAAAGTATATGAATAGTTTTGACCCTTTTCTGGCAATAAAACAGTTGTGTTAAGATGTTATAGCTGCTCAAACCCGAGCAATGAATGCCCTGATAGTGCATTGTCTTTGTGCTGTTCGCCTTTTGGCGTTCTCTGGTCTAACACTGTTTGAGACTCTGCTCTAAAGAAAGCTGTCTCTGGTGTGGACCAATCAGTTTAAAAGACAATGCATATACTACCAGAGCGTGTTTTGGTTTTCATTCTCATCACAGGTATGTGTGGTCAATGCAGACATGATTTCTTGCTTAAGGTTTCTGTTTGGTTTTTGAACATCTTAACACAACTGTTTAATTGCCAGAAATGGTAAAACCTATTCTTACAAAACAAATACCTTGCGTATTGTACACACACACACACCGACCTATGGAAACCTTAAAACCGTGCACAGCATCCCGGGGTTAACCCTGCAACTTCGTTGCAATCGAGTTGTGTCGCAGTTGCACGGCGGAGGGCCACAGGGGCGCTGTTGCATCGACGCGATCCAGCCCAAGGGCCCCCCGACGATCGGGGCACGTGGGGTCTTCTCCGTCGCTCTCGTCTGGGCGTCCAGCCTAAGGAACCACAAGACATGACGACGTTCTTTACTCATCCTGTCAGCCACATTGTCGTTGAACACGAGCGCAACGCTGCAAGGAGCTCGCTCGGGTGGGAGGCAAGGTCTGGGATCCGTGCCTCTTGAGCGGAACGATTTGGAGGCCGTCAACCCCGTGGAGCAGCCCGATTGCGACTCTCGCCTGGCTCCGTGTGGCTGTGTGAACACAACAGCACCCCGCCGTGCCGGCCATCCCCATTGAGCACGCGACAGTTGAATGTGACAGTTGGATGTGTAGTGACTGTACAGTGATACCTCGGTTCACGAACGCTTCGGTTCACGAACAACTCGGTTCACGAACAGAAAATGTCATAAAAATATGCTCTGGTTCACGAACTCCGCTTCGGTTCACGAACAGGAGCCGCGGCCATTTTTATGCTAATTCCAGGCTGTCACATGGTCGTGACTTCCTGTAGGAAGATCGTGGAGAGAAGCAGAGACACAGAAAGAAGTACTGTGAGTACTGTGAAGACACTTTCAGTGACTTTTTGATTTTTGGTGTGCTTTTTAGCACATACAGTACTGTACTGTACTACTGTACTGTACAATGCTGTACTTACTGTATTGTACAGTTCAACCGTTTGAGTGCTTACTGAAGTCATCTCACGCAAGGATAGTGTTCTCTCCTTATACATTACTACTAGCAGAAGTACCCGGCGTTGTCCGGGTGAAAAATATATTTCTTAATAACCTTACATATATACACAGATGGGCTGCTACCCCTGCCCCCCCCCCCAGCCACGATCTCCTCGGCCGCTGTGCAGTAATATGTACTGCCTATAGTGTGGTGGGGTGTCGAGGCCTAGTACCGCGCAGAGCCTCCGGCCTCGCCCACCCGGCTGAGGCTGGGTACTGGGGCCGTTACCCCCCCCACCCCCCGCGCTACAATAATGTCTAATCGCTATAATTTTATTATCTACCGACCCTATAATAGTAATTGCACACATTGGGGTGGGGGGGGGGAGTGAAGAGGACGTGAAACTTTGATGAATTTACCTCAGAGTCGCGTGTTAATGCGTGCGCATATTTTTAACGGGAATTAAAAATGGCGTCCACCCCGCAGCGAATGTGTCGCTACCCGTTGCCAGGAGCAACCGCCGTAGTAAACCAAACGGACCAATCGTGTCTCGCAAATCCCTCACATTTCGTCCAATGAAACTGCGTATGGTCCGGCCACACACAGACAGACACACACACAGACAGACAGATTTGCGATTTTTTATATATATAGATACTGTACAGTACTAATGTGTATTGTAATTTGTTTCATATTTTTGTGCTTCAAAAACCAAAAAAAAAGGTCAGAACGGATTAACCGGATTTACATTGAACCCTATGGGAAAATGTGGCTCGGTTCACGACCAATTCGGTTCACGACCAGAGTCAGTTCACGAATTAAGTTCGTGAACCGAGGTATCACTGTAATTGTCACTGTGTGGTGCCGGGACTTGCGAACGTCAGCCAGCCAGGGTTACGCTGGGGCATGACGCTCTGGCTGACCTGTTGTCACGTGACCGGACGATAATGGAGGGGGGCCACCGGTGGACGGGGGCCGAGGGGTGGTCACGTGGTCCCGAAGAGCTCTCGGGAACATTCGAGAAGGGGCTCGAGGAGCCTGGAAGGTGGGCGGGGCTAAGGGCGGAGCCAGCCCCAGCCGGGGGGCATATAACGAGAGCTCCGTGAGGAGCTCGGGGTTCTTTAAGTTCGAAGATCCACGTCGGGGAGAAGAAGCCTCTAGCCACGCGGTCCTGGACCCAGCTTATGGTCCAGACCGGGATAGTGAACCGTGTTTATTTCTGCGGTAGCGTGGTTAGATGGGCATTCGAGACCCGAGTGTAGATTGTGTTATGTTCGTGTTGTTGTGTTAATAAAGTGTTGCTCCCAATTTCTATTTAAAGCTTTCGTGACTGCAGGGATTCATCTTCTTGGTTCTTTCGGTAAAGTCACGTAGAAGGGAAGTAATAAAATAATAAAAATAAAACATAATAAAATAATTCTCACGACGTTTCGGCCACAACGCAAGCAGCCGTCCTCAGGTGAAGAACATGTCTGTCGATAAGACAGAGTCTAAATGACACGTCTTAGGCTTGGAGTGTCTATTTAAGCTGTGAGGGAGGAGGAAGAGAGCCTTGACAAAAGCATTTGCATTTGAAGAGGAATTTAGCATATTTACGGGAAATGCAGGAATGCGAATAGTGCTAATTGTGTGAAATTATCACTATTCGCATTCCTGCATTTCCCGACAGACATGTTCTTCACCTGAGGACGGCTGCTTGCGTTGTGGCCGAAACGTCGTGAGAATTATTTTATTATGTTTTATTTGTATTATTTTATTACTTCCCTTCTACGTGACTTTACCGAAAGAACCAAGAAGATGTTGCTCCCAAGTTAACGTCTGTGACTCAGTTGGACTCACTACAGATGTATCGGTTGAATGTTACGGTTGATTGCGGCAGTTGAGTGCAACAGTTGAGTGTGACGTTTGGATGTGTCTGTTAAATGTGAAAGTTAAATGTGCCGGTTGAATGTGTGCTTGCAGTCCGTCAGCAGCAGCGATTGCTGCTGCTATTTGCTGCAACAATGGGGAGGCTGGAGGGAGGGAGGCGTTGCACTTCAAGAGGCGGTTGGCGGCGTCTTTGCGAGAGGAGCGTCTCCACCTCCTCCCGGCAAACTCCCCTCGCTCCTCCTCTTTTATCGTCGCCTCCCCCACCTCCTCTCTCTGTTCTCTAAGCTCACTGCCTCTCCCACCTCACTTACACTCTCACTTCTCACACACTATCACGTCCCCTCTCTCACCTCTCTCACTCCTCTCAACCCCGAACCTCTCTCTCGTCTCGCGACCCCATGGCGACGCCGCGCTCCGTGCTGGTGACGGGAGCGAACCGGGGTCTGGGGCTGGAGCTCGTGCGCCAGCTGCTGCTGCTGCCGCTGCCGCAGGGCGCTGCGGACCCCGGCCCCCGCGTGCTCGCCACCTGCAGGGACCCCGACGGGGCCGGCGCGCAGGTGACGGTGGTGACGGTGACGGTGGCGATGGTGACTGGTGGTGGTGGTGGTGATGGTGGTGATGACGGTGGTGATCGTAGGGGGAGCGGGTGGTGCTTAGCGCGCTGCGCTACGATACCCGTTCTGGCTCACAGAACTTGCCCCAACAGTCTGTGAAGGCTGTAAGGGGATCTTTGTGAGGAGCGGTGGTGTAGCGGTTAGCGCTACGAACCTGGTGACCCTGGTTCGATTCCCGCTCATGGTAAGCACCAGTGACGATTATCCGAACCGGTCCTGGACCTCTCCTAGGTCGACTCAGCCTCAAATGAGTACCTGGTGTGGTGTGTAACCATCGCCACTGGGGAGACAAAGGCGCCCGGGCGTGGTGCTGACCACCCCACCCCTTTGTGTGCCGTGTCGGCCTTCATAGGTGCTCGTAGCGGTGGTGGAGGCGGTTGAGGTTGATACGGTGGTTGTGGAGGTGGTGATGACAGAGAAGGTAGTGGTGGAGGAGGTGGTGGTGGACACGTGGTTGTGTGGTTGCCTGGGTGAGTGGTTGTCTGGTGATACGGTTGTGTGGTTGTGTGTACGTGTGTTGAACTTCCTTCGCACCGTACGTAGCCAATCGTGCTAATCAGAAGTGCGGGGGAAGGACAACAAACTAAACACAAAAAAGTGTTCCAAAGAGTTTTTTTTTATCTAGTTGATGATTTCAAAGTGGAGCTTTCCAGACGGCCACAAGCCCATTTGAAAGCGCGCGATGTGACCGTCTTTGTTCAACTGAAGTGTAGTGTGGTCGCGTGGATGCACGGGTGTATGGTTGCCTGTTTGCGTGGTTGTGTGGTTGCCTGTTTGCGTGGTTGTGTGGTTGCCTGGTTGTGTGGTTGCGTGGTTGTGTGGTTGCCTGGTTGTGTGGTTGTGTGGTTGTGTGGTTGCGTGGTTGCGTGGTTGTGTGGTTGCCTGGTTGTGTGGTTGCGTGGTTGTGTGGTTGCCTGGTTGTGTGGTTGTGTGGTTGCGTGGTTGTGTGGTTGCCTGGTTGCGTGGTTGTGTGGTTGCGTGGTTGTGTGGTTGCCTGGTTGTGTGGTTGTGTGGTTGCGTGGTTGTGTGGTTGTGTGGTTGCCTGGTTGCGTGGTTGTGTGGTTGCGTGGTTGTGTGGTTGCGTGGTTGCGTGGTTGTGTGGTTGCCTGGTTGCGTGGTTGTGTGGTTGCGTGGTTGTGTGGTTGCGTGGTTGCGTGGTTGTGTGGTTGCCTGGTTGTGTGGTTGCGTGGTTGTGTGGTTGCCTGGTTGTGTGGTTGTGTGGTTGCGTGGTTGTGTGGTTGGTGGTTGTGTGGTTGCGTGGTTGTGTGGTTGCGTGGTTGCGTGGTTGCGTGGTTGTGTGGTTGCCTGGTTGTGTGGTTGCGTGGTTGTGTGGTTGCGTGGTTGTGTGGTTGCCTGGTTGCGTGGTTGTGTGGTTGCCTGGTTGTGTGGTTGTGTGGTTGCGTGGTTGCGTGGTTGCGTGGTTGCCTGGTTGCGTGGTTGTGTGGTTGCCTGGTTGTGTGGTTGTGTGGTTGCGTGGTTGTGTGGTTGCGTGGTTGTGTGGTTGTGTGGTTGCCTGGTTGTGTGGTTGTGTGGTTGCCTGGTTGCGTGGTTGTGTGGTTGCCTGGTTGTGTGGTTGTGTGGTTGCCTGGTTGTGTGGTTGTGTGGTTGCCTGGTTGCGTGGTTGCCTGGTTGTGTGGTTGTGTGGTTGCGTGGTTGTGTGGTTGTGTGGTTGTGTGGTTGTGTGGTTGCCTGGTTGCGTGGTTGTGTGGTTGCCTGGTTGTGTGGTTGTGTGGTTGTGTGGTTGCCTGGTTGCGTGGTTGTGTGGTTGCCTGGTTGTGTGGTTGCGTGGTTGTGTGGTTGCCTGGTTGTGTGGTTGTGTGGTTGCGTGGTTGCGTGGTTACCTGGTTGTGTGGTTGTGTGGTTGCGTGGTTGCCTGGTTGTGTGGTTGTGTGGTTGTGTAGTTGTGTGGTTGCCTGGTTGCGTGGTTGCGTGGTTACCTGGTTGCGTGGTTGTGTGGTTGCGTGGTTGCCTGGTTGCCTGGTTGCGTGGTTGCGTGGTTGTGTGGTTGCCTGGTTGCGTGGTTGCCTGGTTGCGTGGTTGCGTGGTTGTGTGGTTGCCTGGTTGTGTAGTTGTGTGGTTGTGTGGTTGTGTGGTTGTGTGGTTGCGTGGTTGCCTGGTTGTGTAGTTGTGTGGTTGTGTGGTTGTGTGGTTGCGTGGTTGCCTGGTTGCGTAGTTGTGTGGTTGCGTGGTTGCGTGGTTGTGTGGTTGCGTGGTTGCGTGGTTGTGTGGTTGCGTGGTTGCGTAGTTGTGTGGTTGCCTGGTTGCGTGGTTGTGTGGTTGCGTGGTTGCGTGGTTGCGTGGTTGTGTGGTTGCGTGGTTGTGTGGTTGCGTGGTTGCGTGGTTGCGTGGTTGCGTGGTTGCCTGGTTGCGTGGTTGTGTGGTTGCGTGGTTGTGTGGTTGCCTGGTTGTGTGGTTGTGTGGTTGCGTGGTTGCGTGGTTGTGTGGTTGCCTGGTTGTGTGGTTGTGTGGTTGTGTGGTTGCGTGATTGTGTGGTTGCGTGGTTGCCTGGTTGCGTGGTTGCCTGGTTGTGTGGTTGCGTGGTTGTGTGGTTGTGTGGTTGCGTGGTTGCCTGGTTGTGTGGTTGCCTGGTTGTGTGGTTGTGTGGTTGTGTGGTTGCGTGGTTGTGTTGTTGCGTGGTTGTGTGGTTGCCTGGTTGCGTGGTTGTGTGGTTGCCTGGTTGTGTGGTTGCGTGGTTGTGTGGTTGTGTGGTTGCGTGGTTGCCTGGTTGCCTGGTTGTGTGGTTGTGTGGTTGCGTGGTTGCCTGGTTGTGTGGTTGCCTGGTTGCGTGGTTGTGTGGTTGCGTGGTTGTGTGGTTGCGTGGTTGCCTGGTTGTGTGGTTGCCTGGTTGTGTGGTTGCGTGGTTGCCTGGTTGCGTGGTTGTGTGGTTGCGTGGTTGCCTGGTTGTGTGGTTGCGTGGTTGCGTGGTTGTGTGGTTGCGTGGTTGCCTGGTTGTGTGGTTGTGTGGTTGCGTGGTTGTGTGGTTGCGTGGTTGCCTGGTTGCGTGGTTGTGTGGTTGCGTGGTTACCTGGTTGCGTGGTTGTGTGGTTGCGTGGTTGCCTGGTTGTGTGGTTGCGTGGTTGCGTGGTTACCTGGTTGCGTGGTTACCTGGTTGCGTGGTTGCCTGGTTGTGTGGTTGTGTGGTTGCGTGGTTGCCTGGTTGCGTGGTTGTGTGGTTGTGTGGTTGCGTGGTTGCCTGGTTGTGTGGTTGCGTGGTTGCCTGGTTGCGTGGTTGCCTGGTTGCGTGGTTGTGTGGTTGCGTGGTTACCTGCTTGCCTGGTTGCGTGGTTGTGTGGTTGCGTGGTTGCCTGGTTGCGTGGTTGCCTGGTTGCGTGGTTGGGTGGTTGCGTGGTTACCTGGTTGCGTGGTTGTGTGGTTGTGTGGTTGCGTGGTTGCCTGGTTGCGTGGTTGCCTGGTTGCGTGGTTTCGTGGTTGCCTAGTTGTGTGGTTTCGTGGTTACCTGGTTGCGTGGTTTTGTAGTTGCCTGGTTGTGTGGTTGCGTGGTTACCTGGTTGTGTGGTTTACGTAATTGCCTGGTTGTGTGGTTGCGTGGTTGCCTGGTTGCGTGGTTGTGCTATTGCGTGGTTGCGTGGTTGTGTGGTTTCGTGGTTACCTGGTTGTGGTTGCGTGGTTGCCTGGTTGTGGTTGCGTGGTTGCCTAGTTGCGTGTTGGTGGTGTACTCCCTGCCACTGGACGGGCCCTGCTCTCTCGCTCTCCGTGTCCCAGGCGCTGCAGGAGCTGGCGAGCGCTCACCCCCAGCTCACGGTGCTGCAGCTCGGTGAGGCGAGACGCCGCAACTCATCGGTGTCTCCTCGGTGTTGTTTCTCACGCTGCAGTGTCTGCGTGACTTCTTGGTGTCCCTCTCACTCCTCAGCGTGTCTCCCCGGTGTCCCCTCTCACTCCTCTGCGTATCCTCCACCGTGCAGGTGTAACGTTCTTGTCTCTCAACTCCTAAGTTGGATGTTCAACGTGGGCGACTTTCCGTGTGGAGTTCGCGTGTGTTCCCCACCCACGTTCTGCGTGGGTTTCCTCTACGTTCCCCGGTTTGTTTCCCCCTCCCTCCACAGATAAAGTTAACGCACATTGCAACTTCCATTGGCCAAACATCCCAATGCTAAAACAAAAATTACCAGCAGTAGCAGCGGCGGCATTGGCCATTACTGCGTAACCCTTGGGCCAGGACCCTATTGAAGTCGAGCCCTGAGACTCGAGAGAAGCTTTCCCCGGGGGCCCTGGGCGGTTACGTCCGGCGTGTTTGGTCACCGCTCTTTTTTTATCAGAATTTTTATTTAGACTGCAGGAGGAGGAATCTGATGAGCGATGAAGCTATTTTTTGCAGACGTCCAGTAGGGGCGGAGGGAGTGGGATTGGTCGGGGGGGGGGGAGAGCGTCTGGAGCCTTCTCGCCTGCCACAGTCACCCCTGAGCCCGAGACGCATTGTCATCACCGTTTCACGTGGTGACAACCGGGAAAAGCCTCGCAGCTGAGGCTCAAGACTCGTGCTGAGGATGGCTCCTGCCAGCGTCTTCTTTCACAGATGTCCATGCGAGCGAGCGCGAGAAACGTCCCCCTCCCCGTATCTCTCTCGTGCCCTTGGATGTCGTGAGGCTGCGATATCAGTCGCGCCGTCGCGCCGCGCTCGCAGTCGCGAGGCTGCCCGGACACGGCACGGGAATGTGGCCCAAAGAAACCCCGGCGAGGTTCAAAGAGCCTCGGCGAGATTCGGCGAGGCTCCGAGAGCCGCGGCGAGGCTCAGCAACCCCCGGCGAGATTCGGCGAGGCTCCGCGAGCCCTGTCGAGATTCAGTGCAAGGCGCGGCCCGCGTCTTTCTACTCCCCATTACCTCTGGGAATCTCCGTGGGCCTCCCTCTGACCCTCTCCCGGCCCGGGTGGCTCTGTCCGCGAGACCCCCGCGTGGCGCTTCCCCGAGCGCTGCGAGTGAACCCTTTTGTGCCGCTGCATCGGCCGTGCTTCTGTCTCGTTCAGTGTGTCACAGTGTGTGTGTCACAGTGTGTCACTGTGTCACAGTGTGTGTCACTGTGTCACAGTGTGTGTGTCACAGTGTGTGTGTCACAGTGTGTGTCACAGTGTATGTGTGTCAGTGTGTCACAGTGTGTGTGTCACAGTGTGTGTGTCACAGTGTGTGTGTGTCATAGTGTGTGTCACAGTGTGTGTGTCACAGTGTGTGTGTCACAGTGTGTCACTGTGTCACAGTGTGTGTCACAGTGTGTGTGTCACAGTGTGTCACTGTGTCACAGTGTGTGTCACAGTGTGTCACTGTGTCACAGTGTGTCACTGTGTCACAGTGTGTGTGTCACAGTGTGTCACAGTGTGTCACTGTGTTAGTATGTGTCACAGTGTCACAGTGTGTCTGTGTCAGTGTGTGTGTCACAATGTGTCACAGTATGTCACAGTGTGTCACTGTGTTAGTATGTGTCACAGTGTCACAGTGTGTCTGTGTCAGTGTGTGTGTCACAGTGTGTCACAGTGTGTGTGTCACAGTGTGTGACAGTGTGTGTGTGTCAGTGTGTATGTCACAGTGTGTGTGTCAGTGTGTGTGTCACAGTGTGTGTCACAGTGTATGTCACAGTGTGTCACAGTGTGTGTGTCACAGTGTGTCACAGTGTGTGTCACAGTATGTCACAGCGTGTCACAGTGTGGCACAGTATGTCACTGTGTCTCACTGTGTTAGTGTGTGTCACAGTGTGTCACAGTGTGTGTGTCACATAGTGTGTGTGTGTGAGCGGTAGTGTAGCGGTTAGCGCGCTGCGCTATGAACCTAGCGACCCAGGTTCGATTCCCGCTCACGGCCAACACCAGTGACGATTATCTGAACCGGTCCTGGGCCTCCCCTAGGTCGACTCAGCCTGAAATGAGTACCTGGCGTGGTGTGTAAACATCGCCAATGGGGAGACAAAGGCGGTCGGGCGTGGTGCTGGCCACCCACCCCCTCGTGTACCGTTCCGGCCTTCATAGGTGCTCGCTGACAGCACTTGCCCTTACAGTCTGTTAAGGCTATACGGGGGACCTTTGTTCTTTGTGTGTGACTACACACACTGTGTGTCACAGTGTATGTGTCACAGTGTGTGTAGTCCAGGAAAACAACCTCCTACCTCCTCGCGGTGCCGGACAGGCAACAGTGTCGTGGACAGTGCTGTGGGGGGAGGACCAATGCCTCATTGGCCTCTCCCCTCATGGCGTCTGTGACCACCACAGTGGTTAAACGGGGGCTCTGGACGGGTGCAAGGGGCTGGTAACCCCTCCACCCTCAATTGATTACCACGAAACTACGAATTAAACATAAATCTGTAACAAATAAGCTTGTGCCGGAGGCCTCGGGGGGACAAACGTCTATGACGTCTCCTGGCCAAACCTCAATTGGCGGAGCCAGGAGATTGAATCTTCACCCTCGGGGCTCCTCCAGAAACAACGAAAAGCCACTACAGATGGCCACATGGAATGTTCGAACGCTCACTGTGGAGGAGAGGCTGCCACTCCTTTGTCGGGAGCTGGACCGGTACCGCCTGGATCTCTGTGGCATTCAGGAGGTCCGGTGGACCGGTTCTGGCTCCTGCCACCATGAGGGGTGGACAGTCCTCTACTCGGGGCAGGAGACTGCCAAACAACAGGGTGTGGCTCTTCTTTTGAACAAAAGAATGAAGAGGGCATGGGAGCATGGCGGTGAGGTGTGGGAAGTTGTAAGCCCCAGGATACTTTGGGCTCGCCTTCCCATCAACCGGAGGCGAGGAGTGGTGGTCGTGGTTACTTATGCCCCCACCGAAGACGAACATCCGTGGAGGGATGCAGGCAAAGCCGATGAGTCAGATGCCTTCTATGACCTTCTGTCACAGGTGCTGGCTAAAGTGGCCACTCGGGACAGAGTCATCTTGTTGGGTGACTTCAATTCCCGAGTTGGTTATGATGCTGGCACCTGGTCTGGAGTGATTGGAAGGCATGGGCAAGATCAGCTCCATAACAACGGTAGGAGGCTGCTAGATTTTTGTGCAGCCCATGGGCTTATAATTACCAACACGCTCTTCCGGCATCGGCGTATCCACACACATCATGGATACATGCCGGGTCCAAGCAAGAACATCTGCTGGACTACATAGTGACGGACCAGCGGATGCGAGCCCATGTCCTTGACACCAGGACCTACCGTGGAGCTGATCTGCCCTCTGACCATCGACTAGTCATCTGTAAGATGTGCCTGCCATTCTTCCACTCCGGTGGTGGGTGTACACCCAGGACCCCATTCCAACCTAAAGTGGCCTGGTCTCAGCTGATGAAAGTTGCAAGCGAGAATGTCATCATCGCTTGCAGCTGGGGTTGGCATTGTCCCCCACTCCTCCTGATGTCGAGGGTAAATGGGCGAGGTTTAGGACTGTGACTCATGCAGCGGCAATGGCTGCTTTGGGTACACGGTCCAGACCTCCCCATAAACCCTGGCTGACAGAGGAGGTGTTCAGGTTATTTGAAAAAAAGCGACAAGCCCACTCTCATTGGCTACAGCATCCCACGTCAGAGAATGAGGAGGTTTACCGCAGCCTTCGCTCGGAGGTTCGGAGAGCCGTAAGGTGCTGCAAGGATGGGTGGTGGTCGCGGGTTGCTGAGGAGATAGAGTCTGCCTCAGTGGCCCGCGATCACAAATCACTATTTAACTCCATCAAAAAAGTAACCTGCAGCACCACACCTATTACCATCATTAGGGGAAAAAACGGTGATCCAATCTCCGACCCCCAGGAACAGGTTTGCAGATTTGCTGAGCATTTCTGTGAGGTCCTGGGGGAGGGGAAATCCCTCAGCCAGGAAAACATCATGGCACAAAGTGGGGATAACCCTGCTGAGGCTGCGGTGCCTCAAATATTGGAAGAGGTCACCCCCTGTGATTGGCTGGCTGAGGTGCCATCTGTTGAGGAAGTACTGAGGGCGATCCGGAGTCTGAGACCAGGGAAGGCACCGGGCAGAGATGATCTCCCAAGCGAAATGCTGAGGGAGGGTGGCGTTTGTGCACAGACTGCCCTAGATGACATCATAAAAACAGTCTGGACCACTGGACGGGTTCCACAGGATTGGAAGGATGCCCTGGTGGTCCCCCTCTTTAAAAAGGGGGACCGTACCGACTGTAACAACTACAGGGGCATCTCACTCCTCAGTGTGCCGGGTAAGGTCCTGGCAAGGATTATTTAATATCGCCTTGATAGGCACACTGAGGAGAGGCTTGCGGAGCCCCAATGCGGTTTCAGGAAAGGGCGGTCCTGCACAGATGCCATATTTTCTGTCCGTCTGCTACAGCAGAGGTGTAGGGAATTCCAAAAAGACCTACATCTCTGCTTTATTGACCTGGTCAAGGCCTATGATACCATCAGTAGGACTGGGTTCTGGGTTGTTCTTCGTGCTTTCGGAGTCCCTGACCCTCTGCTCACGATCATTAAGGACCTTCATGATGGTGAGCGGGCCCGGGTAAAACTATGTGGCCGGGAGTCGGAGCCTTTCCCTGTACACCTTGGGGTGCGACAGGGATGTCCTCTGGCTCCCACATTATTTAACATCTATTTTGACCGCGTAGTTCGTCAAGCCTTCAATAGCTGTACCGGAGGAATTTCCATTTGGTACAGATATAATGGGAGGCTGATCGATGCCCGGGTGCGATCAAGGGATGGCTCCCTATTGGTCAACCACGTTATGTATGCCGATGATTTGGTAATAGCTGCTCATTCAGAAGAGGAGTTGGAGACGCTGCTGCTGAGACTGGAGCGTGCCACTAAGAGGTGGGGCCTTACCATCAGCCCCACCAAAACTAAGCACCTGCCTGGGTATTTTGTACCATCGGACACTCCACCCCCACAACTCCCAATTGGTGATGGGGCAGTTGTGGAGAGAGTGGAGAGTTTCCCATACCTGGGCAGTGTGCTTATGACCGGCTCCAGTTTATCAGCAGAGATCTCACTCCGAATCAGTCGAGCGTTAATATCTATTCATCGGTTGCGTGACGCTGTGTAGAAGCTACCTGGACTGTCGCTCCGCACGAAGCTTCAGGTCTTCTCGGCCACAGTCATTCCTTCCCTTTTTTATGCTTGCGAAACGTGGACCCCTCTAATGGAGCATCTTCGCTGTTTGGAAACATTTAGGCTGGCCTGCCTACGATCCATCCTGGGTTTAACCAGGCTGGATTGTGTGAGGAGCTCACAAATCCTTGAAAGATCTGGGCAAAGTCCCATCGGTGAGCTCCTCCGGCAGGCAAGGCTGCGTTGGCTGGGTCATGTAGCCCGCATGCCCAGCCACCGCATGCCTAAACAGCTTTTGTTCGGCCGGATTGAGGGGGTTAAATGGGCGCGGCACGAGCTAGAGAAGAGATGGAGTGATGTGGTACGGGAGGACGTGGAGCTGAGTGGACTTGCCGATGACTGGTACCAGCGGTGTCAAGATCGGCCTCAGTGGAGGAGGCTCGTGAAGGACGTTACTGGGCAGTTGGAGGCAGTCGCCCTACAACAACAACGGAGGGCTGAGGAGCGACGCTCACAACAACCAGCGGAGCGCCGGGTGACTAAAGCACAGCAAGTTGGTACAGTAGGGGGCAAAGGTGGTGCATCAGCCAGTCATCTCAGTCATCTCGGTCAGTCGACCCGTGGCACCTGCTGGGTCTGCCCCGTGACCTCCTGCCAGCGGGCGTTCGACACTTCACGTGGCCTCAAGGTGCACTTGGCCTGGCACAAGCGTCGTGGTGACGTCACCGCCACTTAGAGGCGAATGGCAGTTGTTGTTGTGTCACAGTGTCAGTGTGTGTGTCACAGTGTGTCACAGTGTGTCACAGTGTGTGTCACAGTGTGTGTCACAGTGTCACAGTGTGTGTGTCACAGAGAGGCTGGTAACCCCTCCATCTTCAATTAACCACCACTAAACTACGATATAAACATAAACCTGTAACTAATAAGCTTGTGCCGGAGGCCCCGGGGGGTCAGGCTTTTATGACGTCTCCTGGCCAAACCCCATCTGGCGGAGCCAGGAGATTGAATTTTCACCCTCGGGGCTCCTCCAGAAACAACAAAAAACCATTGCGGATGGCCGCGTAGAATGTTCGAACGCTCACTGTGGAGGAGAGGCTGCCACTTCTCTGTCGGGAGCTGGACCGGTACCGCCTGGATCTCTGTGGCATTCAGGAGGTCCGGTGGACCGGTTCTGGCTCCTGCCACCATGAGGGGTGGACAGTCCTCTACTCGGGGCAGGAGACTGCCAAACAACATGGTGTGGCTCTTCTTCTGAACAAAAGAATGAAGGGGGCGTGGGAGTGTGGCGGTGAGGTGTGGGAAGCTGTAAGCCCCAGGATACTTTGGGCTCGCCTTCCCATCAACCAGAGGCGAGGAGTGGTGGTCGTGATTACTTATGCCCCCACCGAAGACGAACATCCATGGAGGGATGCAGGCAAAGCCGATGAGTCAGACGCTTTCTATGACCTCCTGTCACAGGTGCTGGCTAAAGTGGCCACTCGGGACAGAGTCATCTTGTTGGGTGACTTCAATGCCCGAGTTGGTCATGATGCTGGCACCTGGTCTGGAGTGATTGGAAGGCATGGGCCAGATCAGCTCAATAATAACGGTAGGAGGCTGCTAGATTTTTGTGCAGCCCATGGGCTTGTAATTACCAACACGCTCTTCCGGCATCGGCGCATCCACACAACATCATGGATACATGCCGGGTCCAAGCAAGAACATCTGCTGGACTACATAGTGACGGACCAGCGGATGCGAGCCCATGTCCTTGACACCAGGACCTACCGTGGAGCTGATCTGCCCTCTGACCATCGACTAGTCATCTATAAGATGCGCCTGCCTTTCTTCCACTCCGGTGGTGGGTGTACACCCAGGATCCCATTCCAACCAAAAGTGGCCTGGTCTCAGTTAGCTGATGAAAGTTGCAAGCGAGAATTTCATCATTGCTTGCAGCTGGGGTTGGCATCGTCCCCCACTCCACCTGATGTCGACGGTAAATGGGAGAGGTTTAAGACTGTGACTCATGCAGCTGCAATGGCTGCTTTGGGTACGCGGTCCAGACCTCCCCAGAAACCCTGGCTGACAGAGGAGGTGTTCAGGTTAATTGAAAAAAAGCGACAGGCCCACTCTCATCGCCTACAGCATCCCACATCAGAGAATGAGGAGGTTTACCGCAGCCTTCGCTCGGAAGTTCGGAGAGCCGTAAGGCGCTGTAAGGATGGGTGGTGGTCGCGGGTTGCTGAGGAGATGGAGTCTGCCTCAGTGGCCCGTGATCACAAATCACTATTTAACTCCATCAAAAAAGTAACCTGCAGCGCCACACCTATTACCATCATTAGAGGAAAAAACGGTGATCCAATCTCCGACCCCCAGGAACAGGTTTGCAGATTTGCTGAGCATTTCTGTGAGGTCCTGGGGGAGGGAAATTCTCTCAGCCAGGAAAACATCATGGCACAAAGTGGTGATAACCCTGCTGAGGCTGCGGTGCCTCAAATATTGGAAGAGGTCACCCCCTGTGAGTGGCTGGCTGAGGTGCCAGCTGTTGAGGAAGTACTGAGGGCGATCCGGAGTCTGAGACCAGGGAAGGCACCGGGCAGAGATGATCTCCCAAGCGAAATGCTGAGGGAGGGTGGCGTTTGTGCACAGACTGCCCTATATGACATCATAACAACAGTCTGGACCACTGGACGGGTTCCGCAGGACTGGAAGGATGCCCTGGTGGTCCCCCTCTTTAAAAAGGGGGACCGTACCGACTGTAACAACTACAGGGGCATCTCACTCCTCAGTGTGCCGGGTAAGGTCCTGGCAAGGATTATTCAATATCGCCTTGCTAGGCACGCTGAGGAGAGGCTTGCGGAGCCCCAATGCGGTTTCAGGAAAGGGCGGTCCTGCACAGATGCCATATTTTCTGTCCGTCTGCTACAGCAGAGGTGTAGGGAATTCCAAAAAGACCTACATCTCTGCTTTATTCACCTGGTCAAGGCCTATGATACCATCAGAAGGACTGGGCTCTGGG